GTGCATACATTTATCAGAAACATCTTGTAGGCCTATGTATCACGTTGACATGGTAAGTAAGCTAGAAATAATTGCAGCGTTGGTTCGTCACACACTCAGTAGTCAAGTTTGACAAAACGCATTCTATCAATTAGTACGGAAGCACCTAAGTGCCATTCGACTTGACGACATGTCAAGTCGAATGGCACTTAGGTGCTTCCGTAAATTAGGCTTGCCACAAGTCCCTTATTTTTTTATTTTTCTCATTCTGGACAGCGCCACCAACGCGAAAATTAATTTAGAGACGGAATAAGAAAAAAAGAAATCGAGTATGGGACATCAATTACATTAGATATGGCGCGCACTAAGTGCAATAAAGAGTAAGTAACCCAAAATTAGGGCAATCTATCAATGTGAAGCTCTGTTAACATAAAATAAGACAAGGGTCATCATAAAAAATTATTTTGTTTCGATATTTAATTCTTTTCATCACATTAGCGTGTGAAGTTTCAAAAGATTGGCCATTTGATACGGTACTTAACTAGGAAGTTTCTATCGGACAATTAGGTTTTATTTTTCCAGATTCAGTTTACTTTTGTTGAGTAGTTGCTTTGTTTGATCGTCATCGTCATCATGATTGAAACTAATGTAGTCCTATACGTAACAAGGAAATAAGTTAAAAAATCATCTGTCGCAAATGTTGTTTCTCAAATCTAAAAATGTATAGTATGTAGGTCAGAGTGAAAATACACGCACTCCACCTAAAGATTTATCAAAAATTTAGACAACTTACACAATTATGACTTTAATGTTAAAACCAACATCTTTGGAAACTTTTCCTACTTCTCTTTCATTATTATTGAACCGACCGTATGAAATAACTTCAAGCGATTTGATACAGTGTATACGAGGGCCTGATTCGCAGAAATGACACTGTCATCAACAGCTGGTGCTGACTGACAACTAACGTATCAGTAGTAGAAGTGTTTGTAACAGTTATTGAAATGTCTTGTTTTCTTATTCATGGTTCATTTTATAACAAAATTAGGTTATTTTATAATTGTTTACCTGCTGTTTTAAAATATCATACGTAAAAAGAATTCTGCTTTGCCAGCAAATCTGAGACGCACATTAACTCATTTAAGAAAAGAGCAGGTTTAGGTTTAGGTTTATTATATAACGCTTGATAAAAGTTTTAAAAACAGGCAAGACGCTGAGATTGATATAAATATTGATGTATTGTCATAATGTGGATGAGCCTATAGTTGCAGGATGACTTGTTGTGCTGTTTGTACAGGCAGCCACATCAGAACTCCCGTTCTCAAGCTTGCAACATTTTCCAAACATGCCTTCTAAGAACACATAATATATCTGCCTAATACCCCAACGAATATCTGGTAATGTCTTCCAGTAAATAACTGGATTGATCGCTGAATTCATCAGACCTAAGCCTAGAGCAACGTACAAGAGAGTTGTTCCTTCAAGACAACGTTCTTCTGTGATGGATACAGTTAAATACCGCGTGATGCAGATCCGGATAGACTCCACAGCCCATAGTAACCAACAGACAACGTAAACCAATAAAATCACACCATAGGCCCGAAGGACTAGTTTCATCTTGTTAAACTTTCTGGAGCCAAATTTATGTATCTTATTCTGTTCGTGTAGACGAATAGTCAAGATGATTGATGTATACAAAAATGCAATAGAAAACATTACAAAAATAACACAGACCGGACCAACGAAGAAGAAAACGAATTTGTGCAAATCTGGATCATAGGTATAAATTGAAATAAGGCAAACGAATGGCAGGCTCCACAAGATTACACAACAACCGATAGATCTCATTCGTTCTGAGCGCGAATTTTGGTACGTTTTCTCCAGGACAATTTTGTTGAATCTTTCTGCTGCTATGGCCAGAATTGTTAGTGAAGATGTAATGCCGGTGCTGAGTCCAGGAACGTCCACAACGGAATCACCGATTATGAACTGTACAGGATAAAGCAGGCCACCCATAGCGTCTGTTATTGCTAAATTGAAGATAAAAATGTAGCGTGATTTTGGAAGCCTTTTACGCAGTCTTCCTCTGACAGTCCGAGTCGGCCTTAGGATTGCCACGGCACATAGTATGTTGCCAACTATTGAAACAAAACTCGTAAATACAATGTATGTGATGAAACCAACAAGAAAATACATATTCCCATCGACATCACTTAATCCGTTATATTTTTCATTGCACGTAGACAAGTTTGCCATTGTCACCACTTGCAGCTCGCTACCGTAGGCCTAGCTAATATGAATCGCTACCAAAGTCTGCATCTATTTTAGTCACCATACCAAAATTATATATACTACAGCGCCTCGAAAATGAAAATGAAACTTACGGTTCAGGCAATGCGGTGCGGATAGTGTTTCCATTTAAAATAAAAGAAAGTTTCTTACTGCGATTGCTTTATTGTTATTTTAAGTTCCATTTTACAAATTTTAGTGTTACATTTTCAAGTTTTATATCCATGGTATTATCTTGTTATTTATAATGTGCAATTAATTCGGGATTGGCCCATGAGAGGTGTGATTGTTCACCTGTTGGCCTTCTTCCGTCACCGGCAACTTTATATATACTGTATTGCCTATGTGAAGTTGAATAAAAATTTTAATAAATATGCCTAAATAAATAAATAGAAGTTATAATTCCTGTTGACGGCCTGCCTGAGGCCTATGTAGTAAACAAACGTAATTAAAACTAAAACAAATCCATTTCTTTCCTTGTTCCTTTATAAAGCCTCTCTTTTTCACACTTGTGGCGTCGGTTCATGCGCATGCGCATTTACATTTAATCGGCGTTTTCGCTTCGGATAATCGGTATTAAAGGCCAGTTCCCACTAGGTTCCCACTAAAAAAAAGGTTTTGTTTGTGTCCTGTCAGTTTCAGCCTTATAAGTTTACGTCATAAAATAATCTGCCCGGCATTAACTGCTTGAGGGCGGTATGCCAATTTATTGTCATCTGCAGCGTAACCACTGCTTGGGTATTTACCCAAGATCTTGGGTATTTTGACTTGGTCTTGGGTTCTTGGGTATTCCGTTCAAATCCTTGGGTATTTTATTTTTACTAAGAAAATTAAATATTTTTGTCATAGAGGAAGAATTAAGAAGTAACAAAGTATATTTCAGTCCATTCAATTTAAGCAAAACTCAACGAAGTGCACATATTATTCAATTCAATTCAAAATAAATTTATTCCAAATCTTTTCAAAGCATAGATAAACAGTACAGATATAAAAAAGGAAATGGAAAGGGCAACCACAAACAAGCAGAGCTTTACAATAGTGGCGCCCGAAAAAAAAGTAACACTTAACATTGTTAACTGACTGTTAATTGCTATAAACATGGGTTCAGAATTGTCTATTTGTGATTTGCGCTGCCATTGATCTTACCTAATTAATGCATTCATAATAAAACTTGATCAATGATCTACTGATAACACTGGGCGACTGAGGGCGTATTTTTCTATCTGCATTATCACCTCATGAATATTAATTTTAATAATTAACACAAACAATTACAATAAAAAATTGGTTTATAAATTGAACTAAAAGGGAAACTATACATGCGAAAAACACGTATTTTTCAAATTTTAATGCATTTTCAGGAAGCCTGGGTAATTTTGGGCAATTTTTGCTGAATCTTGGGTACTTTCGACCCAGTCATTGGGTATATCAAAAATTGTGAGTGGTCACGCTGGTCATCTGGTAACAGTCACCGCATCTGAAGTTTGACAGCTCGTGTTCTATCACTTTTACTGTATGTTACAACTCTTAAAACTCGGTAATATTACCCGTAACCTTACCAAAAACGTACATAATTATAAAATTAAGTGTATCGTCCATTGTTTAATATCACAACTGGGACCATTCATGTTATCACGTGAGCCCGGCAAATACGGAGAACCGACCACTACGACGCATTAATAGAGAAAAAATCCTATTTTTTTCAAATATATTATAAGTACCGTACTAAGTTCTTTCTTACAAAAAGATTATGCGCACTGGAGCAACGGACGAGGTACTGTAATGAGCAAATGCAGCAATGGTAAGTCTCGATCTCATGTGGCGCTGTCCACACACTCAAATTTCTGGCGTAGCGATATTATCATGTTCATACTACATTCAGATTTCTTCAGTACAGTATTCACAAATCAGAATGTAAAAGAATGATGATAATTTCCTATAGGGAATTTCCTTTGGGAAATGTGTTATATTAAAAAGATAAATTGTTTTGATTTTTGATTAATTTTATACTACAAATAATATTCATATTAGAAGAAAAATAAAGCTAAAAAATGAACGACGTTTAGGCTCCTCACTGCGTCATTTTCAATTTACATGAATGAGTCGAAACGTCGAGTTCATTCTTTAACGTTATTTTCCTTCTTAGCCTGTTTTTTCCACTTGGCGAATTTATTCGCGCGAATGGAAAGCGGCGGCTCATGCACATGCGCATTCACATTTTTATCGGAGTTTTTGCAAGCGAAAAAATGCGCAACCGATCAGTACTCAGGAAGCGAACCAACGCTATGATTCGCGCAAATAAATTTGCCTAGTGGAAAACCAGCTTTAGTTCGAACTGTTTCTACTTTTTGCGAAGCGAAAAAAGTGCGCAACCGATCAGGTAGGCCTACCAAAACGACGCCTTTCATTCGCGCGAATAAATTCGCCTAGTGGAAAACATGCTTTAGTAATTAAATCATTAGGATTAATTAACTAAAAATTTCTGCAACTTCTGGTAAATAAAAAAAAAATCAAATCACTTTATTACTGAGGCATATGGTAATAATTAACTGGTCTACAAAAACCCACAAATGAACAGACTAGATTATGTTAACCTTGAGCACTTATAGTGGATATATGGTCTATACATCATTTATATTATTATTATTATTATTATTATTATTATTATTATTATTATTATTATTATTATTATTATTATTATTATTATTATTATTATTATTATTATTATTTACTGTAGTGTTATTATAATACTGTACGTCAGTTAATTTACGGTTTACGAGGATATTTTCTTATTCTAATTTTCAATTGAATAATCACTTAAATTCACACAAAGTAAGCAATAATGAAAAGAGGCAGGATTAGAGAGTGAAAGTAGTCAGAATGTTAAATAACAAAACGGAATACATTATTACAGTAATAGAATTGCAAGTTATAGCCACATCGCCACTCGCTGGATTTCACCCTGAGCCTGACACTGTATGATAGATGTCTACGGTGCGCCGTCTCACGTCTTGATTATGCAAGATACACAGCGCGCAGAGGTCAACATTGGGGTTCAGTGATTTCAGCAGTTTGAGGAACAGTCGTTGCTGAGTTCCGATTTTTATTTATGTAATCCAGCTAAAAATTACTTGCATACTTTTGTTATATAGTGTATTGATTAAGATTAAACCCATGAATAGTGGAAGATATAATCAGGCTCGTGGTAGTTATCACCATGGACAGCGTAATCGCCAAGGCTCAGCGTCACGGAGAGGCCAACAACAACAAGCGTCTCTTGGGTTTCGGTCTCCGCCGCCTGGAATGATGATGGGTTCACCGCCGTGGGATTACAGTCCTTCCCCGCGTGGAACTCGAGGCGGCCATATGAGCCGTCCAAGTCCAAGGTTTGTTTCATGTATTCGTTGTAAAATTCCATCAGGCTGATTGAAGGCCCTCTGGTCTGGGTAGTAGTAGTAGTTAGTAGAGAGAGTAGGGCCTAGCAATAAGCATAGACTGTCTAGGGCCGGCCTAGGCCTACATTCACTACTAGGCCTAGATAGTAGATAGACTATTAGCCTAGAGAGGTAGTACTAGCCTAGTAGTAGG